TCGCCTTGGACAAAGTATAGTCTTCAGCTTAGACGGTGTAATGGTCTTAGCCTCGGACAAAGTAAAGTCTTCAGCTTGGATGGTTGTCTTCGCCATTGCAAAATAAATCTTTGGCTCAGACGTGTAATGATCTTTGCCTCAGATAAAAATAAAATCTTTGGCTTAGACATTGTAATGATCTTTGCCATAGATAAAGAAAGTCAAGTTTTCAAATAAAATGAAGTCTTTGGCTTAGACGGTGTAATGGTCTATGACTCAGATAAAGTGAAGTCAAATCTTCAAACAAAATAGAGTCTTCAGCTTAGATGTGTAATGGTCTTCGCTTCAAATAAAATGAAGTCTTTAGCTCAGACGGTGTAATGGTCTTCGTTTTAGACAAAATAAATCTTTGGCTCAGACGATGTAATGATCATTGCCTCAGATAAAAGTAAAATCTTTGGCTTAGACAGTGTAATGATCTTTGCCATATATAAAGAAAGTCAAGTTTTCAGATAAAATGAATTCTTTGGCTTAGACGGTATAATGGTCTATGCCACAGATAAAGTGAAGTCAATTCTTCAAACAAAATAGAGTATCCAACTTAGACGGTGTAATGGTCTTCACTTCAGACAAAGTAAGATCTTTAACTTAGACGGTGTAATGGTCTTCACCACGGATAAAGTTAATTTTTGTCTCAGACGGGGTAATGATTTTCGCCTCACATAAAGTCAAGTCAAATTTTCAGGCAAAATAAAATCTTTGGCTTATACGGTGTAATAGTATTTGCCTCAGATAAAGTAAAATTTTGGCTTAGACGGTGTAATCGCCTTCGCCTAAAAAAAAGGTTTTCCATTTGAAACGGTGTAAAGTTTTTGCCTTGTTCAAATAATGCTTTCGTCTTGTATGAAGTAATTTTTTTTGCCAACATGAGTATAATCTCGGGTGGGTAAATTTTAATCGCTTCATATTTGCTACTTCTTTTGAACTTTACGGGTGAAAAAAAAGAATGACACAATGAAATACAAGCTAAAGATAGAAGTTACCGGTCAAAAGAGATAGTAACTTCTAAAATACTTGCCTTTACTACTGCAAAAAAAAAAAAAGAGTAAAAAAAAAGTACAAAAAAAAATGAGTTTATTCATGAAAGGTTATTTCATGTTAAAACAAAGCAAAAAAAAAAAAAAACACTCTTCAGAAAAGCTAATTCTTCTGGTGCACCACGTTCTCAATATGAGTTTTGAAGAAAATTGATTACGCGACATTTGATTATGTGGGAGGAAGTCCAAAGCTAAGGCAACCAAACCAATTAAGTACTTTCATTATCTTCCAACGCCTTACGGATACTACAGCTATTGTCACAAAGCTAGACGTACATGTGCAACACAAAGATTAAAGGCTTGGCTTGATTACAATATCCAAAGCAGTAACCAATAAAGGCAAAAGAGTTAGTCAAACACATGGGAGTTAGATGCTTACTAAAGGATCATTCACACAGAGTTTTACGGATAATGATCTCAACTACAATTAATATCGCTTATAATGGAACTGATCTTTCATTATCTTGCACTACATACTGGTTTGCTACTTTAATCACATGAAGACAAAAAAAATGGATCTTACGGAAAAAAAAGAGCCAATAAAAGGAGGAAAGATCAATTAAAAGAAGATTTCAATGTTATCAATAGAAAGTTGTCAAGGATCGTCTCCGTGAGTATTACATGTAGTTAATAATACATCAGCAAGTTTTCACAGCAAGATGGACCAGCTGTTAAAAGAATACCATGCATAAAGTGAGTACAAAAAGAATTACCAGAAGGGGTCTCTGCTTGAAACAAGCAATACGCTATAGGATAAAGACCCGTGTCTTCTTATATATATGTTGGAAAGAGCTCTCCTAGTCAATTTAGATTGAGTCCGGAACCAAAATGTGGTCCTTTTGGACTCAAATGACACAAATATGTGGGGAAAAAAATAGTGACATTTTTATATATAACGCCACTTAACCTGGCGCTATATATTAACAGTAACGGAACCGTTAATGTATAGCGCCATTTATTGTGGCGCTATACTGCGAAAGCTGACACAGACTGGTATAAAAGCCACAATAAGTGGCGCTATATCCTTTTTTTAAAATTTGAACAGGAAATGTCCTATCACCCTTCTATGTGGTTTGCTGATGATGATGCCACGTGGGAGGGACCCCAAAACCTCACAAAGAAGGAATGAAAAGGTCAAATATAGACTCAATATACTTTTTAATTTTTCTAAATATCCTTTTCCTTTTAGAATATATACTAGTCTTCCCTTTATTTTTTTTATCGTTCATTTGATTAAACATGAAACTAGAAGTCTAGAAGAATGATATATTATAGTATAATTATTAAAAGTTTGTTGGTTGACTCTTAAGAAATTTATATATGCAGTATTTTTTTGAGACGATCAAAATACAAAAAAGAAAGTGTGACATGTATATGGGACATAGAATAAAGAACATCAAAATTGACTGCTTGATAGTCACTTAACTCATTTATTAAACGATTGGAAATACTAAAATACTACTTGATAAAATTTTGTTATTTGAAAAATACGTAAAGACATTTCATTATTATATACAAACGTTTATGTTTCAAAAATAAGTTAAAGGCTAAAAGCGTTCCTTAGGTATCATAAAATTTGGCTTCCTAGACAGAAAACGAACATTTTAATTTAGTTGTGGGAGTATCTATATCATAAGAACCAAAATTATTCAAACTTACTATGGGTAAGTTTAAATTAATATGTCAGATTTTTGATTTATTGATTTATTTCAACTTCAACCTGGGATAGAGTATTTGAAGTTGAAATTTTGGTTTAACAAATATTTCAAGTGAAATAATGTATTTCACTTACAAAAGCTCAATATCAAATGTAATTCATGTCCAAACAGAATTCAACTTCCAAATATTATTTTTTTCTCTACAACTTCTAATACTCATTTTTTTGAATTTTACAACCAAATATTGCCCAAACGAGCATCAATATTTATTCTAAATATTCTTTGTCAACTTTAATTACATGTCATTATTATTCGTTCCAAGCAAATGAGTATAAGACATTTATTTTACTTTATATATATATATATATATATATAAAACTTAACAATTGTTAGATGATTTGTATTCTAATTTTAATTTTTATGAAGATATGTGTTCTTTATACAAGTCGTTAAAGTTCGAGAACTAAAGTGACAATTCTGAACATTAATATACATATCTCAACAAAATTGACAATAGATAACATATTCATTTTTTTTTTGTTTAAGTGTAAAATTACTTGATATATGTACTAGTGGAAGGGTACCTAATGAGGTAAGCATTTTGTTCCTTAATGTGTAATTACTAAAATAATTTTTTTTAGTAAAAGACAGCACGATTTTGAGGTATTCACGGACTTTTAAATAGGAAGTGTTTTATCCACTTAGAGATCATTTGATTACCAAGATTTGAATAATACTCCGATATATAATTTGTTTTATTCTTTTGATTGGATTTCTGTTCCCCGTATATAGACGAGCTGATTGCTGGCAAAAGTAACAAAGGATATAGCGCCACTTATTGTGGCTTTATACCAGTCCGTGTCAGCTTTTGCAGTATAGCGCCACAATAAATGGCGTTATACATTAACGGTTCCGTTACTGTTAATATATAGCGCCAGTTTAAGTGGCGTTATATATACAAATGTCACTATTTTTTTTCCTCACATATTTGTGTCAATTGTGTACAAAAGGATCACATTTTGGTTCCGGACTCATTTAGATGTGTATAAGCTTTTGTCTTCTGAAAAGGAATTGATTTGACCATATCTCTAAAAAATAGGAGGTGCCAGCACACGGTAATTATCTGTTCCCAATGGAGTCAGATTAATTAGGAGTCCTACATGGACTAGGCTAGATGGTAATCTAGCTGAATTCAAAATTGGAACTAATCTCAAATGCCAACTCTCCGTGTTAAATGACGTACTTGTGGAATGCCAGGAAACAACAAAAAAATTCCTAGCAAATTAAGGGAAAGAGAATGTCGTTCTTTTGCATAAAATATGGTGTTCAAATGCCGTATGCAACTGATGGTGATTAAGCTTACTCATTTGCTTAGGATTCATGACTTTAATATTATTATTTTAATGTTGAAGTATGAATTTAAAAAGTAAAAGCCACTAGCAATGGCAAACAAATTATATTGTATACTTTAGAAGGAAATTGACGTGACAATATTATGGACTTAGACAACATGGACAAAGTTTCATTAGATTTTTCTCTTAAATGGATGTAAAACAACTCAAGTTGTTATGAGAATTTCCACACACGCTTCTTCTCATTGTTGTAGGTTAGTATTTATAGTACAAAGGCTATACTGTTAGGATGAGATGAGATCCCATGTTATTAGGGATTACATTACAACAGAAATAGATTCAATCAAATCTGAGTTGATTGTGATGAAGCCTTATCCGTATTATCCCTCGCGACAATAAAGAGGATAATACGGATAAGGCCTCATCACAATCAACTCAGATTTAATTGAATTTGTTTCTGTTGTAATGTAATCCCTAATAACATGGGATCTCATCTCATCCTAACAGTATAGCCTTTGTACTATAAATACTAACCTACAGCAATGAGAATGGAAATTCTCATAACAACTTGAGTTGTTTTATGGTATCAGAAGCATAACAAACTCCAACGAGTTATGGTTTCAGAAACTCAAATCAACTCATCTTCTACAGCAAACAACTCAACATCTCCCTCACTAGTTTGTTCAGTTATCCAACCTAGTCTCCTTCAACCCAGCATCCCAACTATCGCTTAAGTTAACTGGAAGCACCAATTACTCCACATGGAAAGCCCAAGTCACAACCTTGCTCTTCGGTTATGACTTAATTGGCTATATTGATGGATCTTCAGAGTGTCCTACTCAATTCATCAGCAGCTTGTTAATCCCAACTATAAACTATGGCAGCGCCAAGCCAGTTTGGTACGCAATGCTATTATGGCATCTGTTGATCACTCTATTGCTTCAATGATAGCGCACGCAGTGACGACGAAACATGCATGGGAGACGACAACTTTTGCAAGCAAATCACAATCCAGAATTTTTGGCCTTCGTGAGATTCTTGCCAATCTGCGAAAAGAAGCTCGACCAGTTGCTGACTACATGAAGGAAATCAAAACTATTGCAGATGATCTTGCCTCTAGTGGATCCCCATTAACCGATGAAGTACTTAGTGGTCTTGGACCCGAGTTTAAGGAAATTTCAGTAGCTATTCTTGCTCGCGACAATCCTATATCTTTTGAGGAACTATATGATAAACTTCTCACTCATCAAGTCTTTGTTCAATATTCAGAGCCCAAAGCTGCTGCTCTAGTTATCACAGCCCAATTCAACCAGCGTGTTTCAAACGCCCGAATTTCTCAGCGACGAAACTACAATAATGTTGGGAATCAAAACCCACAGCGACGCAACCAAGGAGTTCCAAATTCAAGCCATACCTCTAATGGTAGGAACTTTACTGGCCAAAATCAATCCTCCAAATCATTTGGATCACGACAACACGTTCAGTGTCAACTATGTGACAAGTATGGTCACATCGCCAAAGTTTGTTGCTCTCAGTCACACAACAAATATGAAGCCCAGGCAAATATGGCATCTCGCTCCTACAACAATAATGATAATTCTTGGATCATTGACTCTGGCGCATCTCATCACATGACAGACAACCTTGGGAATCTTACTTCTGCAACAGAATTTTCAGGCAGTGATGACATACATAGTCATCGGAGATGGTAATAGTATTCCTATTTCACATATTGGGCAAACTACTCTTCATTCTACTTCATCCGCTCGTCCTTTCACACTTGAACATGTTTTGTGCTCACCAAAGTTAAAACGATTTGAGAACGGGCGCGATACTGTTTCGCTGAAGGAGTAAGAATGATCTCTATGAGTGGCCAACCACCAAGTTTCCAATCAAGTCCACTACGCCTCAACACAAGCCCATTTTGCTGTCTCCCCGCCACCGGATCTACACTTATGGCATGCAAGGCTTGGTCACCCTCAACCACGAATAACCAAGACTTTTATTTCTCATTTTGGTCTCCCAGTAGCTTTGAATCAACCATTTACATTTTGCAATTCATGTCTTTGTGATAAAAGTCACCAACTTCCTTTTGGTGAATCCTCTGTTAGAAGCCATAGAGCCTTTGAAATAATTTACTCTGATGTTTGGGGACCAGCTCCCATTACTTCCTTTGATAATTTTCGATTTTATGTTCTATTTGTTGACCACTTTACAAAATATACATGGTTATTTCCCATTAAACACAAATCTGATGTTACACAAATATTTAGCAATTTCAAGAAACTAGTTGAGAATTATTTCTCCACCACAATTGGTACCTTGTATACTGATGGAGGTGGTGAATATCTTGGTCTCAAATCCTTCCTTCAAAACTCTGGCATTCAACATCTCCTGAGTCCTCCACACACACGCTTCTTCTCATTGTTGTAGGTTAGTATTTATAGTACAAATGCTATACTGTTAGGATGAGATGAGATCCCATGTTATTAGGGATTACATTACAACAAAAATAGATTCAATCAAATCTGAGTTGATTGTGATGAGGCCTTATCCGTATTATCCTCTTTAGGATGAACGTCATTGGTACTGCAAGACTGATCTTCAAAGGCCAACTGCGATGAGTCTTGAAGTAGGGGGTTTTGTAAGCATTTAAATTTTGTTGGATTTAGATCCATAAAATAATTTGGACCATATTAAATTCAAGACATTAGTCCAAACAAATATTGTGGCTAGTAAATTGGACTACTTACTTAAATCAAATATATGTGTTGGTCTAATCCATTTAATTGGACTACGGATTAAATGATAAGCCCACTTCATTAGCCCAAGGTCCAAATGGCTATTAGCCCTTTCTTAAAGCTCGAGCTCATGCCACGTGTCAAGTGATGTGGCAATCCATGTCATGACCCAAAATCCACTAAGGGTCGTGATGGCGCCGGACACCGCTGTCAGGCAAGCCAACCAAATTACTTAATTAAATTCTCGTTTTAAATATTTCTGAAATCTCTTCTTTTATACGCTTAAACTATACATAGTAAATTCCACTGAATAAGAAATGAAACATTTAACAACTTTTAAAATTCTGAATAAACCCATAGACATCCCCAGAACCCGGTGTCACAAGTGCATGAGCTATTTCTAAAAAACCATACAATACAACATCCGTCCGGAATACAAATTGGACAGAAAGTAAATACAATACACTGAAAGAGACTATACTAGCTGCGGGTCGCCTCGAGAATATACAGCTCGCTTAGTCTCCGAGTCGCCCGTGCTGCTACGCCCAATAGGCCAGTAGAAATACATGTACTTGTGCAACAAAATGCACAGCAAGTGTAGCATGAGTACGAAAACAACGTGTACTCAGTAAGTATCCCGCCTAATCTCGAAGAAGTAGAGACGAGATGACAACTTCGACACTTACTAATGGTCAAATAATAATATTATCAAAGCGATGACTCATGAATTTATTAAGGACAACAGTAAATTCAAATGAATTACTAAACAGGTAAAAGTTCCTTTTTAATTAAAAGTCTCCAGATTTATAATCCATAAATTAACAATTATCTCAAGTCGGGGAGAGCTGATGGCAATATCAATAAATCTCAAGGCAAGCAATACAAGCATGCGCAACTCATGCCGAGGTCGTACGGTCCGATCCAACATAAATATAAATTGTGCACTGCCGAGGGTCGAGCGGCACGAACCATAGAGCATCTATTACCCCGCTCGCGAATCATACATGCGACGCGGTCAAATTTAAATAAACAATCACCCTGCTCGCGTACCGCACATGCGACACAAGTACACATAGAAATACATGCTCAAACAACAAATTAAGAGTTTATCGGGGAACATTTATCCAAATAAAAGCCAATCCTCTTTTAATGATTTAAGAAAATGAAGTTTAATCCTCTTAGAAATTCATTTACCAATTCGATAGGATTTAAGAAATTCAATTGTCAATAAGATTACAGATATTCCAAGTATAGCATGCTTTTGGGTCCTAGACTACCCGGACTTACACATATTAGTAGCTACGCACGGACTCTCGTCACCTCGTGCGTACGTAGCCCCCACAAATAGGAGCATACAACCAATTAATTCACCTATGGGGACAATTCCCTCTTACAAGGTTAGAAAGGAGACTCACCTTGCTCCGAAGATCCATAACCGGCATTCCCCGCCCTTCCGAAGACTCGAATCGATGCAAAATGCTCCAAAGCTATCCAATAATTATGCAAATCAATTAATATATGCTCAATTACTCATTACAATCCAATTTATAATAATTCCTAACCCCGATCGAAAAGTTGGCAAAAACGCCCTCGGGCCCACGTGCCCGGATTCCGAAATTTTTCGAAGAAAAAGTTTACCCATAACTCCACGGACTCAAATATAAAATTTGTTCTCAATTTCATACCCAAAATCGTGGTCAAATTCCAAGAATATCAATTTTCTAGGTTTTCCTCAAGACCCCAAATTTCTACCAATTTACATGCTAAAATCCATACATACTCGATATATTTAACTCAAGAGGGATGGGATTAGCTTACCTTATCGTTGATGATGAAAATCCCCTCTTGAAAACCCTCCAAGAATCGCCCAAGCCAAGAAAATATGAGGGAAAATGGCCAAATCCCGATTTTTAAAACACTCTCTGCCTCCAGCACTTTCCGCACCTGCGGTCACTTGATTGCTTCTGCAGTTCCGCAGGTGCGAGGCAAATTGCCGCTTCTGCGGTCCGGGCTCCCCAGTCCATTTTTGCTTCTGCGCCCTCTCTTCCGCATATGCGGTCCCGCATCTACGATCCCAGCTCTCTTCCGCAAAATTCCGCATCTACGACCATTGGGCTGCTTCTGCGGCTCCGCACCTGCGGCCCTAGTCTCGAAGGTGTGGTTACACCAGCAACCAGCAAGCAATTTCAGCTCTTCTTCAAACTCTAAATTCAATCCGTTAACCACCCGGAGTCCACCCGAGGCCCCCGGGACCCCAACCAATCATACCAACCAGTCCCAAAACACATTACGCACTTGCTCGAGGCCTCAAATCATATCAAACAATGCTAAAACCAAGAATCGACCTCCAATCCAAGCTTTATGAACTTTAGAATTTGAAACTTCTACCTTCGATGTTTAAACCTACCGAATCACGTCCGATTGACTTCAAATTTTGCACACAAGTCATATTCGACATTACGAACATACTCCAACTTTCGGAATCAGATTCCGACCCCGATATCAAAAAGTCCACCTCCTGTCAAACTTCTCAAAAACCTTCAAATTTCTATCCTTAGCCAAATAGCTCCAAAATGCTCCCTGGACATCCGAATTCACTTCCGATCGCGCTCCCAACTCCAGAATCACCATACGGAGCTACTGCCAGACTCAGAATCCCAAACGGACATCAATAACACTAAAATGCACTTCAACCCAAACTTATGAAATTTCCTCCAAAATGCTAACTTCCACAATAGGCGCCAAAACGCTCCCGAGTCGTCTAAAACCTGATCCGGGCATACGCCCAAGTTCAAAATCATTATACGAACCTACTGGAACCTTCAGATCCGATTCCGAGGTCACTTACTCTGAGATCTCATCCTAGTCAATTTTCTCAACTTAAAGCTTCCGAAATGAGAATTTCCTCTCCAAGTCAACTCCGAACTTCCCAAAATTTAATTCCGACCACGCGTACAAGTCATAATGCCTGAATTGAAGCTGCTCATGGCCTCGAATTGCTGAACGGCACGCTAGGGCTCAAAATGACCGGCCGGGTCGTTACAATCCAAGTCAAAAGAACAAGACAATAATATCATGCGACGTGTCAAGTGACGTGGCAATCCAAGCCAAATAAGTGAGACAATGAAATCCTGCCATGTGTCAAGTGATATGGCAATCCAAAACAAATAAATGAGCGAATAAAATCATGCCATATGTCAAGTAATGTGGCAATCCAAGCCAAATAAATGGGTCAATTAAATCATGCCAAGTGTCTGGATGGTATTGGTCAGTTCAAACAAACCAATCAAATCGCAGAGCCACATCACTCCCTAAAACTATAAATAGAGGTCTTTATAAAGCTAGAAGACCGCAGAATTAAGAACAAGAAGCAAGCAGAGAGCTCGTGAATCAAAGGCTGTAGATTTCTCTACAAGCTACAAGTTCAAGTTCAAGTTCAAGCTCAAGATCAAGAACGAAGGCAAATCAAATACCAAGGCATTCAAGATCAAATTACTTGTTCGTGATCAAACCCAAATTCAAGTTCAAGGAGGAGATTCAAGATCAAGCTTTGTCGCGCACCCTTTTTCCTCCGCGAAAATTGGGTTCCTGACGTTTGGTATAGGACAACTCATTCCTTTTGGGAACTGGGTTTAACATTTGAAGAGTCGCCACCTAATGAGTTAAGATGCATTAGGACACCAATAGAGATTCAATTCTAAGTTTGTTCGGATAACCAGAGATTGGGTAAGGGCTTGAAATTATCCCAGGGGGAAGGTGTTAGGCACCCCTTAGGATCCACTAGTGTGGTTTCCGACCAGATAGTTATTAGTTTAGCAAATAGACAAGTATGGGCTCAAATATTAGGGGATTTAAACACATGATAAGAAAGAACGATTGAAAGAAGAGTTAAAAAAAGAGAGTTTGCAAATAAAGGGGAAAGGGGTCCTAGGTTTATTTATAATGTGGATTACATCAATGCAATACCCGGT